TGGTTTTTATTTATATAAATTTCTCTTGTACAATTATATCTCTCATTTTATTTTTAATCATATATTTTATTGTTAAAAAGTATATTGTAGTTACAAACACACACGAAATGAATATCAATATACCAATTTAACTTGACTTACTGAAATAAATTTCAAAATTGCTAATAATTTATACGGTAAATAATTTATATTTGAAATGTTATTATTTAATAAATACCATTTTATATTTAAAATAACTTTAACATAGTTATAGATTTTGAAATATTTTTTTTTAAAATAATAAATTAAAAGTTAAAATTAGTGCTTTAATTATTAGGACTAGTAAAGATATTTAATAAAAATAAACATATTTTATATTTCGAGCTAGGTATTTTACTGTTTAGTTCAATCGCTAATATAATACAGTATACTGAATTTGAAACAATTAAACATTGAGTAAAATTACTGGTATTGTCTGTTTAACACTTTCCTTCGGTGCATATAATACAATGAATTATCATTTCTATGTAATAAAACAAATTAAAAATATTGTGATTTTTAAAATGTTTTAAACTACATTATTTCAGTATAAGCAAACAATTAGCTATACAAGTTATATAATATAACTGTAATTAAAACTTTACTAAGCTAAATTCTGCTATGGTAGCCACCTCAAAGTACTGGCAGTTTTGATATAATATATCAGATATATAGTTTATTGTGTTTAAAATTAAACTGATTAAAGTATATTTCATTTAATTCTGATCATAGATATACTGCATACACTGCTAAATAATAAAATCTTTATTAATAAAATATTTTCAAAATAATTTAAAAACAATTACTGTATTTTGAAATTACTAAACCGATTACTCATTTAACGTAATCGATTGCATATGATGTAATAAATAGAATATTCCGGATTTGAAAAGTTTAAAAATAAACTAAGTGTATAATACGGTAATAAGTGTATTTCATCTCATACTAAATTGAATTATCATTTCGTGAAATTTGAAATAATTTCTAAATATAGTATTTAAGAAAATTTTGTTTTTATTTGTATTATTAAAATATTAGCAAATGCCCGTAATATCAAACATTAAGTACTAAAATATAAGGGCTTTAATTTTTACTAATAATATATTTATTATTAATTGAAAGTTTGCTGCGTAATTGGCTATAAACTAGTTATAAACTAGTAAATAAAAAAACTAATAAAACTATAATAAAACTATATTATAAACTAGTTAGCGTTTGTTTACAAGTAGTTGAAATAATATAATGATTATATTGTTTTAATATAACTTTTAAATCTACGCACAAAAAATTAGTATAAAAACGTAACAATATTTAAATTAACCTTTAAAAGCAAGAATATTAACATAAATATGTTTCTGTATTTGATAATTATGCTTATAAAGTTTTGTAATTCACTGATAAACAGTAAAACAGTATTTATTATATAAATAATGGTTTAATAATGTTTTATTTATAAGTATACCTTGATATTATGTGTGTATAAATATTTGTGTAATTCGAGGATAATTCTTGCTGTTAAAAGTGCATTTAATAAATTGTTAAACATATTATATTATAATAGTAATAAAAATTTTGATAATTAAAACCTAAACATTATGTCTACTAAATATAAATTGTTTTTAACATTTGTCATTTATTTTAGTTATTTAATTTATGTAAGAAACAAATATTGGAATTTGTGTTTGTTCAAAATTATTTAAATTAAATTTATTTTATATTAAAATGGCCAAGACAATTCAAAATACAATAACGGGTCCATGTCTTCCGGATTTGCAAACCCTTTATAACACCAGTTTCGACCGAATCTCGTACGTCAACACAGTTTCCGGTTATGCATATACTTTAGGAGCTCTCAGTAAATCACTGTTTATTTCAATTTTATATTTTTTAATTATGCAATATTTATATTACGATAAAAATATAATAATAATTTACATAACTAACATGCTAATATTAAATGTGTTTTACTAATTTTTGTGAACTAGTTGGAGCGCTGTGTAGTAATGTTAACAAGCAGATTGCTTATATGATGTGTCTGATCATAATAGGCATAACCACTTCACTCTATACGTATGCCAAGAAGTTGACCTTATTAAATTTAGTGTTTGCAGTTAATAGCCTATTCTGTGGCGGAGTCGATTCCTTTATTAACGTATGGATAGTGGAGATGTGGGGACAGAATTGCGGGCCATTCGTACAGGGATTGCAGTTTATGTTGGGTGTGGGCTCTCTCATTACACCTTTCATTGTAAATCCCTTTCTATCATCACAATCGGTAACAGTATATGAATATTCAAATACCACACCAAATGGCTTGAACATTGATGAAACACTTTATACAACTGAGACAATGTTCAACTCAAGTGTTATCCAAATTCAAGAATTCACTAAAATTCGGATTAATATTCCCTATATATTCTTTGGAGTTATTCCCTATTATAGTATTTTGTGGTCTATTTATTGGTTGCCTTAATCTATATAAACCATATATTCCTCGAAAGATTAAAACAAAAGAATTTATATTTACAGGAAATAAATTAACAGAAATATCGATAAAGATTAACAACATATTTATAGCAGAGATGATGCCATCAAAATCAATATTAGTAGTAATAGTATTGTTCGCTAATATGATAGCATTTTCCAATGATATACTATTAAACTGGGTCAATTATTGGACATCATTTGCATCACTATATGGTCTAAAACTAACTGATAGATTATCTAATTATATCCTCGCTGTAATGCTTACAATGTTGACCATAAGCCGGGCAATTTGCGTACCACTTTCAAAATATTTGAATCCGTTTCTAATTATGTTTTGTAGTTTTATTCTCTTAATAATAGCCCACATTTTATTTATAATATTTATGTCTAAGTCATTAACTGTTATATGGATTGCAAGTGTATTGGTAGGACTGGGATTAGGTCCCATGTATGCATTGGTATACCAAATGTTAGAATCGATAACCCCGGTCACAAACCTAATGGGATCACTATTTATATTCATAATCGGTGTATTTCAATGTTTAAGTTCAGTAGTAATCGGAAGATATATCGATTCATTGGTTTTTATTTATATAAATTTCTNATGTTAGAATCGATAACCCCGGTCACAAACCTAATGGGATCACTATTTATATTCATAATCGGTGTATTTCAATGTTTAAGTTCAGTAGTAATCGGAAGATATATCGATTCATACCAAAAATAAATATATTTAAAGAGAACATGTTAATATAGAGAGTAAAATAAAAATTAGTATATAAAATAACAATTTTTCATATAACATCAATGTTTGTGTGTGCTTTACTTATAGTTATATGGTTAGTAACTTGACTTACTGAAATAAATTTCAAAATTGCTAATAATTTATACGATAAGCGTATCTGAATTGTTATTATTTAATAAACACAATTTTATATTTAAAATAACATATTTATAGATTTTGAAATAATTATTTTGTCATAATAAATTAAAAGCTAAAATTAGTGCTTCAATTATTAGGACTAGTAAAAACATTTAATAAAAATAAACATATTTTATATTTCAAGCTAGGTATTTTACTGTTTAGTTCAATCGCTAATATAATACAGTATACTGAATTTGAAACAATCAACTGAAACAATTGAACATTGAGTAAAATTACTGGTATTGTCTGTTTAACACTTTTCTTCGGTGTATATAATACAATAAATTATCATTTTTATAAAATAAAACAAATTAAAAATATTGTGATTTTTTAAGTTTTAAACTACAATATTTCAGTATAAGCACACAATTAGCTATACAAGTTATATAATATAACTGTAATTAAAACTGTACTGAGCTAAATTCTGCTCTGGTAGACCACCTCAAAGTACTGGCAGTTTTGATATATGATACTAATTTAGAGTGCAGTCAATAAGACTCATACAGTGAGATCACTTGACAAACCAGACAGGCTGTAGTTTATTGTGTTTAAAATTAAACTGATTTTTAACTATATTTCATTTAATTCTGATCATAGCTATACTGCATACACTGTTAAATAATAAAATTTTTATTAATAAAATATCTTCAAAATAATTGAAAAATAATTACTGTATTTTGAAATTACTAAACCGATTACTCATTTAACGTAACCGATTACATATGATGTAATAAATAAAATATTCCGGATTTGAAAAGGCTTCAAAATAAACTAAATAATTTATATATATAACCAATAGATAATAAGTGTATTTCATCTCATACTAAATTGAATGATCATTTCGTGAAAATTGAAATAATTTCTA